ATCACGCAGCGAAGGAAACAGGAGAAAGATGAGAAACGACTCAAGTCCAAGAAAGCGAGGGAGGATTTCGTCGCGATGCTGGCCGACTCGAAGGAGCTGCAATCCACGATGAGATGGAACAAAGCAGCCGTGCTTTTCGAGGAAGATGCACGGTTCAAAGCTATCGAGAACGAGAGGGAGAGGGAGGACTTGTTCGAGGATTATCTCGTGGATTTGGAGAGGAAGGAGAGGGAGCAAGCGCGTGTCGAGAGGAAAGTCAATCTTGCGAGGTACAGGGAGTTTCTTGAATCTTGCGACTTCATCAAGGCCAATACCCAGTGGCGTAAGGTTCAGGACAGACTGGAGGACGACGAGCGATGCCAGAAGTTGGAGAAAATCGATCGTTTGGAGGTTTTTCAGGAGTTCATTCGTGACCTTGAGAAGAAGGAAGAGGAAGAGCGCCAGGCGCAGAAAGAGGTGATCAGGCGTAAAGAGCGCAAGAATCGCGATGAACTGCGCAAACTGTTCGATTCCCGCAGGAAGAGCGGCGATCTGAATGCGAAGACTAGGTGGAGGGATTTCGTCAGTACCATCACCGATCACCCCGCGTACATCGCCGTGGCCGACAACTCCTCGGGAGCTACCCCTAAAGAACTGTTCGATGATGTGATGGAAGAGATCGAGAACCAGTTTCACGAAGATAAGGGGAGGATTAAGGATGCGGTTAAGTCGAAGGATATTCAAGTGTCCGGAAACTGGACGCTAGAAAGGTTTAAAACAGCTCTTTTCGGCGAGGGAGGGGGGGGGGGGGATCTGGGGAGCATAGCGGAATCGAACGTGAAGATAGTGTTTGAGGACTTGGTGGATCGAGCGAAGGAGAAGGAGGAGAAAGAGATGAAGAAGCGGAAGCGAGCGGCGGATGATTTCTCGGACTTCCTCCGCGGCACGAAATCAATTCAAGCGACGTCGAAATGGGAAGACGTAAAGTCGTCAATAGATGATGTGCCAGAGTACAAGACAGTGCCAGACGAGGCGGAGAGGATCCGAATATTCAATGAACATATCGCCTATCTACAGCAGAGAGCGAGGGAGAAAGAGAGGAAGAAGGAGAAGGAGAAGGAAGAGAAGGCGAAGAAGGAGCGAGAGAAAGAGAAGAGGAAGGAGAGAGAAAGGGAGAAGGAGAGGGAGAGGGAGGAGAAGAAGGAGAAAGAGAAGGAAGATAAGAAAGAGAGGGAAAAGGAGAAGGAGAGGGAAAAGGAGAAGGAGAGGGAGAAGGAGAAGGAGAGGGAAAAGGAGAAGGAGAAGGAAAGAGAAAAGGAGAAGGAGAAGGAGAGGGAAAAGGAGAAGGAGAAGGAGAGAGAGAGGTCTAAGAAGGACAAAGAAATTAGTGCGGATGATGGTGATGCTAGTGGTGCCGCCAACGACCACACCGGCAACCACAAGAGCGAAGAGAAGAAGAGGGATCGTGACAGAGATAGGGACAGGGAGAGGAGTGAGAGAAGTGACCGAGACCGCAGATCTCGAAAGCGGCACAGGAGTGATAGCAGTGATGACGATGTGTCAGAAGAAGAGAAGGAGTCGTCGAAGAGGAGGTCTCGCCGACACGATAGGGGAAGTGACCATAGGAAGTCGTCTGCCAGAAAGCATGGCCACGGCTCGGACTCGGAGTCCGATCAAGACAAACACTTATCGAGGAGACACAGGCGGCATGAGGGGAGTAGCAGAAGAAATGGAGTGATGGAGGCAGAAATGACACAGGAGTTGGAAGACGGAGAAGTGGATGGAGAGGATGGCGAAATTCGATAGGCTGACGCTATATTCTGACGCGTTTTCAACAGATCTCGCTGTGAGAAACCTTTGCTTGCTTGCTTGCTTGCTCCTATGGTCGCTCATTAATTGAATGACCCGTGTACACTTTGTTTTCTTGATAATGATGTCATCATCAAACCATCTTGGAAGTCGGGTCTCGTCCGTCGTTTTTGTACATTCAGCCTGCTTTCTCTTACTCTCTTTGGTGCCCTCTTCCACGCACATCCTCTGCTGGGCGTTTTAACACTTGGTTTTGGTGAGTTAGGAAGGAGGGAGGGGGTTGGCGAAGGGGGCCGAAGAGGAAGGATGGAGAGTGATAGAGCGAGGGGGAGCGCGTGTGTCAAAGAAAATGTGGGCAGGGGAGAGAGAGAGAGAGAGAGGTCTCTTTTTGACGTTGTTTTGCTTTGCGTTTTATAAATTGAAGTACTTTCTACCTGACAGTTGTTGACGTGTGGTCGGGTGGTTATCTCGGCCCTGATGTCCTGTCCGCTGCTTGGCACGATCTCTACCAGCGTACCCCATCTTTTTGTGTTCTTCTCAGTCCCCTCCACATGCCCGTCTCTCTCTCTCTCTCTCCTTGCATCCCTGTTTCTCTCTTTCTTTCAAATCGTTTCCAAAGACAGCGCTCTTGTGCCCCTTTCCACTGTCCCCCCTGTCTAATCTCAGAAATTCTCTTGTGGAATCTTTGTAAATATTGAGCATTTACGATCTTTTGTGTAAGACTATTGGAGTAGGGCATACAGGGAGGCGAAGGAGAGAGGGTTCGGGAGTGGGGAGTGGTCATATGCGTCATCGTGGATGATATCTTGTTTTTCCTAGATCTTATTGTTGAGAAACAGTAGTCGCATGGATAACTCCCTGCACGGCAGAGGATCTTGCATGTGGCCGAGGCTTCTCAAATGCTCTCAAGCCAAGGCCTGAAACCTCACCCGCATCCCAAACCTTGAGGCGGTCATTACATCCTCATGCAGGTTCCTTATTGCACTCAAGTAGATTTACTGCATGCGGGGGGGTGCCAGCTCCGAACAGTCAATCTCTACAATGCAGAGGCTTCCATTTAGCGGCAAGGCAGACAGAAATCAGGGATCGTTACTACCTCGGGACATCTGTTAAAAGTGGAACGAGATAGAGAAGATTATCATGGCCTCTGTGCAAGATTGACATGCATAGGTGGAGAAATGATCCTTTTGAGTAAAAAAAGAGAAGGGAAAAAAGTGATCGTTACGACCGGGGATCACAAATAAGATGCTCCATGGAATGAAAACACGAGCAATCGAGAAATGGTCCAAATTACTCAGAACAAGCAAACATGAGCAACTCACGGAAACGACCCATAAGGTTCGAATCTGTAGTGACATCTCCCCCAAGCAAAATGAAGGCTTTGTTCGTTCCCCGCAATGCACATCACCCAAAGGAAATGAATGTTAAGGTGACCGCTCCACACGACTGTCAGCGACATGGACTCCACATGCACTACCTGGGAATCCCGAGAGGGGTCTCAAGCAAGAATTACCGTCGGTGCAAAGTGGGATAATAGCATTGGTGTTTGTAGAATTCTCCCAAAAAATAAAAAAGATGTAATTATTCAACTGGAAATAGACATCATTTGGGGGGGGGGGGGGGGCACAAAGGGCAGGAAGTGGCCTCTCTGTTCCCAAAGCTGGGGGGCGCNGGGGTGAGGGGTGAGGGGTGAAAGAGAAGAAAAGATGGAGAACATCAGCTTGCTTCTGAGGCGTCCTGTTCGAAAGAAGAGAGTTACCCATCGAAAATTTTACATGGACTCTGCTGAGCTCAAAAAAGAAATGAGCGGTGTATGAGCCCAAAAAGGAAATGAGCGGTGTATTTTACGGCGTCTTTTTTTTCTTTGTTTTTTCTTTCTTTCTACTGCAAACTGAATGAAGTTCTTTTGCCGTGAATGCAACTGATATATCTAATGGTCATGTAGCTAACAGAAAGCTTGTATCAGCTCTAAACAGCATGAAGAACATCTATATTGATAGATCATCTTTATATTAATAGGTCTGTCACACCCTGTCTGTGTGTTATATACTACCATTTTATTCTAAATCTGAGACACCTCTTGTCAAGCGTAGAGAGGCTGCAAAGTCACACCCCTGGTGGGTGCTGCAACGGAAAACATAATAGGGGTGCAGAGTGTGCAGAAGATATACCGATATCGTCTGGCTAGTTGAGGCACTGGATCTTTCACATAATGTGAAGTCCACCTACGGCCTGATCCTGAAATCAGCCAGAGCATTCTGCACCTATATCAGTATGGCAGATGTCGAAAGGCCGAGGAAACACTCGCACCCCTTTTTAGCTGAATCTTAACTGGATGTAAGGGTGGAGGCACACCATGTGGAAGCTATCTTTGTTTAGTGAGACCTTTTCATTTGTGGTAGTGTTAGAACTACTGATGTTTTCCTCTTGGTAAGATTGTTATGCACTGGGTAGTTGAACCTTTCTTTCTGATCGTAAACAAGGGAGGCAAATGATGCTGTCAGTCTTTTCTGTCCATAAGTGGCAAGAGTACGAGCGCTATGTTTTTCCTATTCTATTAGCGCCAAGGGAACAAGCATGTACTGAATCTACGATCATTGTGTGGAAGACTGTGAAGAGCACTGCTGTCTTTACGTGGAAGTTGTTGATTGAAGAAGTGTGACTGAATTATGCTGTTTGACTTGTGTGTGCACAATCCTTTACCTTCTTTACCTACCGAAAGGCACCTCAATGTTGTACCGACTGTTAGACTATCGAAATTTCTGGAAGTGAGTGTGCACGGGCCCCTGAAAACAGATCTGGAAAGTTTGGATCCGAACAGATTCTCACAAGCAGATTTTTGGGGCCTTGCCGGACACTATAAGCAGCTCCGTAGCATGTTTAGGTCCGCACAACGTGACTTGTCAGTCCGATTTTTTTTTTTTGCCAATAATTCTTCTGTCAGTCTGAAGTCTGCGGGATTCTGCCTGTGCCCTCCAAAATTTTGTCATTTTTAAAACCTGCGCGAAATCCCTTCATCTGACAGAACACCTATTGGATTCTCCTTGATGAAATCTGCACCACCAATCCTCCAACCACAACTGGACGGACCCTGGTACAACCGATGCGTACGTATGCATCTACTGGGGGCCAGGATGCTGTAACTCAGGAACACCTCGCCATTGGTGAATTGATAAATATTACTCTGTGGAGTGCCGCATATTGGAATTAATCAATAGTGTGGCATATTAATGGATATCTCAATGTGAATCTACCTGGGGCCACATTGCCACCAGTCTGGAAATGCAGTGTAGTACTGCACAGCTCAATATGAACCTACTAGGGAGCACCTTTCTGTCAGCTCAGGAACACCTCTGCCTTATTGTTTGGGTAAATTACTGCAAAGTTCTGTTGATATTTATGTGCAGAATGTTTTTATGTATCACCACTTGCTCTCTCTTTTTTTCCTTCTTTTTATCAAGATTTCCACTCTGGGGAGCATCAGTCCGCTTGCTATTACACGGGCTAGTCAAAAGGTTACATAGAGAAACTCACACACGCTCCTCCCCATTATGGCTGGGAGGTCCGAGTAGATCGCATTGATTTCTTCCCGAGGGAGCAGGATTTGAACTCTCGGTATGCTTATTGACGCTACATGTCTGTAATTTGAAGCCCTCTGGCAAGTTGCAACTGTGCACTACCTGCACATGCATCAGCTAGTGTCCTTAGGTGTTGATGCGGTAAAGGTGTTTAGACCTTAAAGCACAAGTACGAGTCCCCACCTCCGAAACTTACAGGGGTTATAAAAGCGGGCCATGATTTCCATGTGCTGGCCTAGAGGGGAGCGCAGTTGGATTCGTTCGGGCGGGCAGTTGAACAAAATAGGTTGGCCAATTTTAGTGTTCGCCATACCTGGCACTTTACCATATTTTACCGATGAGGGCTTGAACGCTTGATCTGCACATCAGCACTTACATGTGTCTACCATTCACGTGTGAACTCTTTATGTATGCATTCCATTAGTTTCGTTCTGGTGTTGACAAGGCCCCACAGAAATATGGCGATCTAAGCTGGGGTTGTTCAATCTGAGAATGCAGAAGTAATTAGGGTGTTTCCCCCAGGGGGGTCGGGGGGGGGGGGGGGGGCCCCCCCGCCCCGGCCCCACCCCCGCCCCCTGGGGGGGTTCTTTTTCCATCATAATGTGTTTTAAGGAAAAGGGGGGTGGGGGGGGGGGGGGGGGGGGGGGGGGGGGGGGGGGGGGGGGGGGGGGGGGGGGGGGGGGAGTGTAGGCAGTGTAAGACGTCTCGTTATGTATGTCTATGTTTTGGAGAGTCACATGGCTTATGTTGGCTGTTAAATCTGATGGCCGTGTGTTAGTAATTGACTTATGTTAGCAATTGACTTCACGATTGTTTGATCTCAATGAGTGAACGGAATTAGGCCTTYGTCGCTGAAGCCGTTAAACCTCCGGTCCCCCTGCCACCGAAACCCCCTAGTCCCTGTGAGTTAGGGCCGGGTTGTACGGAGGGGCGGCGACCGTATGGAGGCGCCGGGTTGTACGGAGGCCGACGGGTCCAATCCCGCCATTTTGCAAGCGGCAACTTTGCCGATTTTTGGTGCGCAGAAAAAATAATCAAAATGTCTGAAAATTCGAGGGTCCGTAGATTAGGTCGTGATCTTTCAGGGAAAAATATCAGAAAAAAAAACGAAAATAATTTTGATGGTGAAGTATTCGCCGCGCCGATTCGGTTTATTTCCAATTTTTGTTGCAAATTCCGTGCGGAGGCCCGCCCGGTTTTCCACGCTGTACTACCGGTACACGTCGTGAAATGGCGCTACCGGTACCCCCGAGGTTTCTGACGTCAGGGGGACCGGAGGTTTAAGGGCAGGGTGGAGCTCCACTTAAACCACTGCTACTTCCTGAAAAATTGCTCCTGCACCTGCAGATGGAAAACAAAACATCATGTGGCAACTGGATTTTCAATCCAACCCAGGTCAATATGAAAAGTGGAGGCCATCTTCTTAACCAGGGCAGTAGTAAAATGTACTTGTGGTTTGCGCATGGATGTGTTCTCTTGTGTGGTTGCCTGGTGATTATCAGATTTCAAGAGTGAATCACGAACCGGTGATTCTCAGATTGGCTTTCCCGAGCCAATTGGTATGGTATTGTCGTAGGCCCTCCGTAGACAAGCTGGCTGTCACGGTAATGACAAGCCGTCATAATGTCAAAGTGACAAGCCGTCATAATGTCAAAGTGGTCTGCATGTAACTGAGCGGCCGATAGTGGGCATCCCGAAGCAACGGTTGCCCGAAACCCTCCAGTCTGTTCTGAGAGTTGCTTTATGTGAACCATAGACAAGCTGGTCATCACGCTAATGACAAGCCTCAACATGTAACCAAGTGGTCCGCACGTAACCAAGCGGACCGCACGTAACCAAGCGGTCCGTGCGTAACCAAGCGGTCCGCGCGTAACCAAACAGTCCGCACGTAACCAAGCGGTCCACACGTAACCAAGGGGTCTGCATGTAACCAAGCGGTCTGCATGTAACCAAGTGTTCTGCATGTGAACCACTTTGCACGTAACCAAGCGGTATGTGAACCACTTTGCACGTAACCAAGCGGTCCGCATGTAACCAATCGGTCCACACTTAACCAAGGGGTCTGCATGTAACCAAGTGGTCTGCATGTAACCAAGCGGTCCGCATGTAACCAAGTGGTTCACATGTAACCAAT